GATCCCCCTTTGCCCCACCCATTTCGCTTGCTGAAGTCACGCATATTTATTGGAACAAACCGTTAGGCTCCTCATTTACATGACAAGGCAACTGAAATTATTGGTCACGACGGCTGGATGATGTAAAATAGCCATTGTTTTCTCCAGGGATGAACGCATGCAGTTACGTTAATCATTATTCTTCTACTCAAGGTATCCACCATAAAATTGTTAACACCAAATTTCGCTCGTCTGTCACTTTTTATCGATTTCCAATATGCTTGAATGATTTATGACTTATATTAATGTTATCTATTACATCAGCTAACAGCATTCTGAGGAGCTTAATAGCATAAATAATAGAATAAATTTAATCGTATTTCTCATTCGACTCAACTCGCATTGTGACAGGTGTTCCTTCTCGACAACGATGCCGACGAAAGCAAAATTTTAATATGACAAACAGACAAAGCCGTGGAAAGAATCTCGCATCAAAATAACAGCAAATTCTTTTAATTCTATCGTATAAGCAATAAACCTAAATCAACCTAAATACCATGGAGCTATGACCTGTTAAAATAGTCTCTTTGGGCATCTGGAAGCAAGTAGTAGAGTAGAGCTGCTGGTGTAAAGTGAGAAATTGATTTTTCCTTTTTTACACCGTGTATTCGCCTTTTCAATCCGGCATCAGTATGTTTAACGTGATATATTCAGCGGCGGTATCGAAAACTCCCCACAAATCGAGGTTCCATTCTGTCACTCTTTTGCCCACGGATAGCGGCACTGTTCTTTGGCTGTGAACATACTTTTGTTCAATCCATGTTTGAGACGCGGTCCTGCGTCCTGTGCACTGCAGGCGTTTTTAAATACCATGGAGCCGTCGCCTACTGAGATGGTCCCGTTAGGCGTATAGAAATAATGGCACGTTGCAATGAGCTGCTGGCGTAAAGCGAGAAGTTTTGTTTCTTTACATCGTGCTTTAGCCGTTTCAATCCGGTGTCATTATGTTTAATGCCAGATCGACTCGATTATTCAGATAAATCTATGCTCGTACACTACGATCTTCTGATTATGACTATGAATTGCTCACCTTCGCATAAGCCGCTCGTTGGACTCTAGCCTCACGCTTTATGATTTCCTGGTACATCTGTTAATTGAGCTAATGTGACAGGCATGGACAGTTCGATGAGAAAACAATAACTCAGCCAAAGCTTCTAATGCCCATCTGTCGAACGCATTAGCCACACGAGAATTGGCTACTCCAAAGGTTCTAACTTGTTGCAAGGCTATGCATACGGCTAAAGGGATAATCAGGCAAACACGCAGAGCAATTTCAGCTGAGTTTGTCAGTCAGTGAAATTTGCTTAAGTCAAATGTAAGGTACGAGAGAAGTTGCCAAACGCCCTGGATACAACAGTGAACAAAAACAGCACAATCAACGGTGAACTTGGATCTATATCAGACTGACCAGAATCTGGACCAAAATCAAGCATGCTCCTTCGTGGGCTCGATCGATCAGACATCGGATAGCAAACATAACGGCTCGCCTTCAGTGGGCCTCAGTCGGACACTTGCACGGAACGTATAGGGATCTTCTGCTTAGCCGTTTCGATAGGCACCGTAAAGTACAACGGGTGAAAACTGCCCAACGCAACTGCTGTCTTCAACATGCATCTGATTGGAATGCCAAAATTTCTCAGAAAGTTGAGTCATCCAAGTAATTTCAAAAGGCTTCAAATGTGAGCCAGCTGTTTTCTCTGAAGACAGACCGGTGCAGAGTAAAGGAAAAGCGCCAGAGTACAAGATTTGGTGGTTTTTCAGAATTTATGAGCCAACGAACAACTTCCTTCATCTCATTAATGCCGAATTCCATCGTTGCACTTCATTAACCATTGCATTCAACTCTTGTTCCCAGCTGAGGCTATCTTCCACAGTCAAGTCGAGGTACTTTACAATTGAGTTAGTTTCAAAAAAGAAGTTGCAGTAACTATGCAATTGGTAAAGCAAGTTCTGTACCGGTTCTGCTTATACGAGTTAAATTCTAGTCTGCTAAATTCTTTCGATTAACTGTTAGGTCATCGTTGCTCATCCAGTCCCTCCCCCCATGTTTTGAATAGGGACTGGGAAGCATAATAATTCAGATCTTGACTGAACAAAAGCCAATAGGGTAATATCATGAGTGTTCTTCATACGTACGATGGTAATATCGCATGGGTACGTCACTGCAAGTATAAGTTGAATAGTGCAAGTGACAAACAGAA